GAAATCGCAGAAGTCCAAAGAATAGCAAAAATCTCCCAAACATGTGGAACGTTTTTGTGTATAACTTGTCGGAAATTGTTGAAAATGAGAAAGCTGTGAAACGTGTCAAAAATCAAGGAAAAAGACGGAATAAAGAACACCAAAAACCAATGGTTGACTGCGAAGGTTTCCCGCAGTCAACTCCATAAAGTGCAATAGTCTACAATATACAATAGAGGTAATAAACATGTCCACTACTACAGTGAGGGAGATGGACACAGACCAAAACTATTGATTGTTACAGGGAGGAGTATTGGACATTAATCAAAAATTCTGAAATGCATAATGTCAGCCAATGGGTGTCATTAAATCTGTTCTTCACCAACAATTTTACTTTTGGGCACAAACCAACATGAGCTGTTAATGCAAGGGAAAATTTTGGACTGATTTCTTGCAGAAAAACGAGAATGTTTCATCTCTAGGGGCTTATCCTCCAAACAAATAAATAAGGACGCACAGGTACTCAAAGACACCCACACAACCAGCAGAGTATGGTCCAGTGTGCAGTGGGCAGACAGCCAAAATATGGCAACGTCCCCTTTGGTGCATTGCCTGGGTACACCCATGGCCGGCCCTCCTCGTCCCACTAATAGAGAGCGTTAGCATGGTTTAGGACCATCGTGAGACAGGAACTTTTTTAAACCCTAGTGATGATGTGTTGTTGCAATTATCACAAAATCAATCCTGCATAATATCACAATATCACGAATATCACAATATATACACCATGATCACAGAGAGCACTTAAAACGTGGATTTTTCCAAACCCAAAAGGGTGAGTGTGACACAAACGGTTAAGAGCAAGAGGAATTTACTTATTCATTTAATTCAGTCTAGAGCCATAGCTAAATGTCGCCCATGAGCACTTCCTTATTGGGCTTCACTGAGGACCATGCTAGCATTTGTCCATCTTTTATAAGTCAATATTACATCACCGACATCAAGAACCAGGCCCTGTAGAAGCCCAACAGTAAACAAAACACTCAGAGAGAACCCATTTTCACGCTGATGTTTTTGACACAAATGAAGTTATCCCAGAGTATTTACATTTAGAGGCATCAGCTGTTACCAGTCTGAGGATAATGGAGCGCTTTTATGGAGCGGTCTTCAACTTCATTAGCATAAAAAAACTGGTCATTTGAATAAAGCTCCTCCGCCGCAGTCCTGAGATATCGCCACTTTACTCTACTCTAACCCTACCCACCCAACCTCTACCCTACTCTACACTAACCTACTCTACCTCTACTGCTACTCCTACTCTACTCTATCTACTCAACCCTAGTCCTACTCTACCGTCTACTCAACTCTACACTACTCTACTCTACTCTACACCCTATAGCCTACTCTACTCTACCTCTACTCTACTCTACCCTAGCCTACTCTACTCTACTCTACTCTACCCCTACTCTACCTCACACTACTCTCCACTAACCCTAGCCTACTCTAACTCTACTCTACCCTACCCTACCCTACCCTTCCCTACTCTACTCTACTCTACCTACTCTGCTCTACTCTACTCTACTCTACTACTACTCTACTCTACCCTACCCTACCCTACCCTACCCTACTCTAACTCTACTCTACTCTACTACTACACTACTCTACTCTACTACTAACACCCCTACCCTACCCTACTCTACTACTAACCCTAGCCCTACTCTACTCTCCCCACTTGATAGCGTTTCCATTACCTTTAAGTATCTGGAACCGTACCTGGTAAAACAACAACCTACCCACAACAAACACTATTCCCTCGGAAATGTTCCATGGTCAACTAACTTTGGCCAATCACTTAATTTAGAACAGTTCCACCAGTTCGTCATGGATAAAACCAGGGCCAAGATGCACAAAAGTAGGAGCTTGTACACGTTAAACATGGCCAGTGGAAACACAACAATTAGAGAGTAAGTAGTTTTTAGCTCCATCCATGCTCATCATCAGGAACTTCTTGGTACAAACAAGTACGCCCCGCCCCTTCAAATATGAACAGGGAATATCTGATCGAAAGGCACAAAGACAGTTTGGAATGTAATGAAGTGGATTGGATGCTAGCGTAAGAAGTTTTAAAAAACAGGGCGTTTAGCATAGACTGTATACAGATGGACACCACTTATCCGCTAGCGCAATGAAATCCAATATAGGGATGTGCTCCATGGAACGAAGTTTTGACACCTATTGTCCCTATAGATTGTGATACACTCACCATTTTTGGGTTTAAAAAATATCTTTAAGCGCTCTCATCTGTGATTGTGGGGATTTATAAGGTGGTGATTTTACTTTGGAAATCCAGATAAGAACCTATGAAAGCATTAACTATTCAGATGACATCATTTTCATTCGCAAGGGAAATTCCAGCATGCCTTACGCAACTTCATCTGCCTCCACGTTACAAGCATATGCCAATGAGGCACGTCGTTGATTTGAATGGGCCCAAGACCCCCATTAACCCTTGGGTCACTGGGCTTGGTATGTTTCTCCAGGGTAGGATGTAAACTCGGCGACCGTTTAACCGTTGGTTGACCGTCACAACAGGCGTTAACCGGTCAACAGCTGTCGGTTAAAAAGAGAAAAAGGGGAAGGGGAGGTCTCTTAATAACGCTATTTAAAGCCCTATTTTCACGGTGTGACGAGCGGGTTTGTCTCTACTGTGTGCGCCCATCGTATTAAAACTCGGGACGACTCTCACGCCGCGACGAGCCACATGCACACACCGCGCGCACACCACACACACACACACACACACCACACACAACACACCACACGCACGCGCAGCACGCACACACACACACTTTCCCCTCGACCATACGTAACATCCACACGCATCTATCTCTCCCCTCTGTTTACCGTCAAAAGTTGCACACTGGCCGGGTCAGAAACTACATTGAGCTTACAATTACACACACAACAACACACACACACACACAACACCACACACACACACACACACACACACACACATACACCACACACATACCGTCTGTCGCGCTCCTCTGTGTCACTGAGCCCAAAGGATTCGCGCAAATACGCGCTCCAGCCAACCACATGGAACTGTTTGTTTTTATGGTCCTCGTGGATCAGCTCCACACAACATCACTTGTATTTAAACTTGTGAAGACCTGTGAGACGGCGCGTCTCTCCCTCGCTGCTCTGACCATGTGAACGAGCCTCGTTTGCTGCTAAGAAAGTTTTGGTATTAACCCGCAGCACATCAGAAGGAAGATTAAACAGCAGTTCTCTGTGCGCAAAGGTGCCGGAGGCAGTTGCGTTTGGGCGCCGCTGTCTCAGCTCTATCCCAGTAGAACGCAGAGCTGCACTTATTGAAAAGTAACGCGTGCTCGAAATGCTGTTATTTCAAAGAACGTGGACTATTATTAAACTACCGCTGTTAACCGGGTTCAAACAACCGGTTCAATAGGCTCGGTGGTCGGTCATGAAAATTCATATTTTTACATCCCAAATCCAAGGTCAATAAAATATAAAATGTCACTAAATGTTAATAGAATACCACTCTGTTGATGAGTGCATTTGTGGTCCTCTATCAAAGTGAATTTCATAATCTGAGACATCGCTCACAGGTAAAGATGCAGGCAGTCAGCTTTGGGCCCCAACCTGGAGGGGCCCTCATTGATCATTTACAAAATGTGGAATAGGGTTTTGCTAGCTGAAGCCCTCTCTCCCAGTACGTGGCCCTGTGGAAGTATCACCACAAAAGGTCTATGTTTCCGCTGATCTGAAAATGACTTGAAATGGGCATCTTGGAAAACTCGGGGTTTGACGGGCCCCATCGAAGTGTCCTTACCATGAACAAAGTGGATCCTTATAATTAGTTCCTGTAAAGTAGGCATGTTTTATTTGTATAGCACGGTTCTAAGACAAAAGGCAACACAAGAGCTCTGAACAAACAAATAAAAGAAAGTAATAATAGTAGTGAAACGTAATAGAAGTAATAACCACAAATTATCATAAATAGATCACAATACGATAATAAGAGTCCTGCAGTTTGTATGCACCGCGAAACAGAACAGTTTTTAACTGCTGGAATTGGGACAATGTCAGTCTGTCTGACATTGGTGAGGTCCTCCTTGGTTCATATGACTACAAACATGTCACAGATATGAACTTGGTGCTAGGACGACATTGAGAGATTGTTTACATGCAGAGCTTCTTTAAAGTCTATTCTCTGAGCCGACAGGAATCCATTGCAGAAGAACCTGAGACCAGGACAAAAGTGATTTGAACTTCCACGGTTTCGTCAAGACTCAGCTGTCAGCGTTTTGAATATACAGTCAACAATAAACACTCCTTTGTTGTGACCCCAGGACAAATTTGTCTCGGACTTCTCATAGTATTTTCTGCCCTATGTTCCCTCTCGCGCCCTGAGTTCGGCAGATCAGCTGATGCTGGTGGTCCTAAGACAAAGCGTAAGCTTCGTGGTTACCTTTAGCTTTTTTATCTGTTGCAGGTCCATGTTTTCTTTGTCAATCATTTACCCATTGAGATAAGACAGCTCGTCTCTACTCCGTTTTTAAAGTCACTTCTTAAAACTCATCTTTTTCACTTGCTTTTGATAATGTCTGATCATAGGTATTATTAAGACAGATAAGATAAGATATTCTTTATTATATCTCACAAGGTCTCCACATGATTTTTTTAGTACTAATGTTTTCAGTTCAGCACTTGGCTGAACTGTAAAAGTTTTTAAAGTGCTTTATAAATATTGCAGTATGGTAATGGTATGTAAACCACACGCTTTCTACCGAGACATAAATACACCAGGCCAGTGAAAAACAGATTTGTTAAGCTCATTTTTTTCATGATGTTTTTCTGCGCTCTCAAAGAGGAGCTAGTTTATTGCTACTATAAACATTATTTTTGAATACGTCCAAACCAAACACATCTATTATTGGCCCCCAGACTGTGATTCTCCAGGGGCCCCTCACCTCCTCATGTCCGGCCCCTGCTTATACAAAGACTCTGTGCTTACCGCAAACCTGGGAGCTCCTCCTGCGGGGTGGCGCTGCGGATGGAGCCAATGTCGTCTCGGCTTTCACCGTATTTGTGCCGATGTCTTTGTGGCTAAATGACCGAGTGGAGGGCAGCGACGACGAGTATTCACTGCTCTGGCCCCCGTTACTCAGCCCCTGAGACACGACACAACAGGAAGTTTTAAAACAAACTGAAATACCTGGTTTGGGGCTGGAACCTAAATGTGCCTAACTCCACCCGAGCCATACTCGTGCCGTGGCACAACACGACCTTTGTCATCGCAAAAATCACATTGCACACCACCAACATAAGTTTGGAAAAAACAAGACAAAAAGTTTTGGACCACTTTCGTCATTCAATGAGATTGTCTAGCTTATCATGAATAGTTGATGTAATTCACAACCCAGGCTGTGTAAGGGCTTGTATTTATCAATATATAATTGATCAAACAGCCATATATATATATGGGTAAATTTATACAATATATAGTACAATTCAAAAATTAATATTATATTATTAAAAAAAATCATCACAAAAATTTAAAACTCAAAAGCCTTTATTAACAAAGCAAATTCATCCTCAGCAATTGTAATTATCTATCAAATATAACAAGCACAAACATGTTCGTAATCATCACATTAATTTCCTTTTCAAATGATTTGACCAAGCCGTAATATGGATACTATTTTCCAAGGCACATTAATAAGCATCTCAAGGCACACCAATGTGCCACGACACACGTAGAAAAACACTGCTCTGCTCTACTCTACTTCCAGCCACTGTATTAAAACCTTACCAGGTCCTTCTTACAGTCCAAGCAGAAACTAACTAAAGTGTTCTTATTGACATCGATTGGCCGAGAGTGCTGCTGGAATCCACACAGGGTAGAGTAGAATTAGAGAAGAGCAGAGTACAGAGATACCCTTCACAACAGCCATAATCCCATTGCATAAAGAGTCAGGTCTATAGTGAGAGATTGTTGTCATTTTCTTTTTCCCATGAACATAAAATAAGGGGGTTTCTGTCATCTCCAATACTCAAAGAGTGATTAGACTTGTAGTAATTACCATAAAATTAGAAATGAAAGCCTTTATCAAACTATAACTCTCATGTGAAAACGAACAAAGTAAAAAACCCAATACAAATTTCAGCAGCAAGTCACAAAGTACTCAGTCGAGGGATTCCAGCTCTGCTTAATAATAAAACAGCAGTAATAATGTATGTGGTACTATGCAAATGTTTTGAATAAAAGATGGTATAGAGGAGTTCGGATGCTGTGAGGAGGGAGCAGATGGTCGTGACCTGCCATAGGAAGCCTCCAGACACTGGGGTGGAGCCTCCTAGTGAGAAGGGGACGTTGGCAGTGACTTTACAGTTTGCTGCTGCTAGCCAAAAGAGCGCTGCTTCTTCGCCGCCAATGATCTTCTACATCTGCGGAGAGACCCTAAGATTATTAGTAGCAAGAAGCAATCGACGCAACTACTAGCATGCAATTAAATTTAAAAAGCATAGCCTTAATACAACGGACAATGCCTATTGCTAACCTGCAAGCTAAAGCCCTATATGAAAGTGCGAGGTGTGAGTTCGCTCTTGCTCCTATTAATTGAAAACTTGAGGTGTAACACTCATACATTTAGATTCTAGTGGTTGGGCGCTCTCTGTAATCCTGTGTTTATATTAAGAAGTAAGAATTACAAGCATAAAACATGAAACTTGAATTGAAGCTGTGTAAGAAATGCAGTGAAGAAGTGCTGAGTAGAGTCTGAGCGGGACGATCCTTTTCCTCCGCTCAACAGACGAGCCAGCGAACAGCTGCGTCCTCTAGCCTCTACCAGCCTGCGTCCTCTAGCCTCTAACAGCGCTGCTCAACACCACCAGGACTTCGACTTCAAAATCGAATATAATTCTAAAATAAAAAATGATGAACAGAAATAATTGAATAAAAAAATGTGAACAAATATAAAACAACCCTGTAATCCGAATGTATTTAAGTGACAGCAAATAAAATAGCTCCCAAAGTTTCACCGGGACGTGCTTAGGGCAGGTAACAGCTAAGCTAGCTAGTTGTTTCTTGGGAAACTTCCGGGTTTTTTCGCACTCGCTTTTGTCACATTGAAACATATTTTTGTCATGAAAACGGTAACATCAAATCTTAAATCATCCGTCGCATGTTTGTTAAGGATATATATACTCGATGGAGGAGGGAGGGATTAGGAAATGCCAGTTCCACCCAGGCTAAGCCCACAGCGGTGTTGGACTGTGTGATGGACACTGGAGCCAGTGATTACTGCTGCAGGACGTGTTGTAGGCCCAACACAAATATAGGTGAAATTACACACAATATCTTCAACATTTACTCTTTACTAATGAAAGGAGCAAAGAAAAGACATGTAACAAAAGTTTTTAGTTCACTACTTCTCAATTCACAGAAGGGTTTCAAGTAAGGCTGCACATCCCGATGGCCTACTCTAGCGTGTTGGATTCAAAACACTTGGGAGGAACATAGCTGTGCGGATTTTTATCCTTTTTGATCTTTTTTCATTCTCAATTCACATCAATTATTCTGCTGAAAAAAAATCATGACATTTGCAAGTACTTGTTCCAGATCCAAGATGCTTGGTATATTCTTACAGATCAATGTTTTTTTCAGATGTGTCCAAAGTTATTTCTAATGGATTTCTTATTTGTAACCTCATTCCCATTTGCAAAAACACTTTTTTCTCAACCAAAAACCCCCAGGTCACCATTTTTTCTTACAGACTGAGCAACACAGACTGGTGTGTCCAAACGACTCGCCATTGAACCTGCCTTGCGACCTAGTGTTTTTGCCACACGCCAAATTACAGTACCTACATATGGCTCAGGTGAAGACGGTCAACACACAAGGGGAAGTACTTTTTATAATGACAACGTAACAAAATGAAGCTCACACCACCAGAGTTCGGGATATTGCACGCGCTGTTTATTTCCTTATAAAGTTGACCTATGTTTGACAATGTTGTTATGATAAGTTGATGTAGTCTAATATATTGCGATTTCCTGGCTTTGAGCAGGTCTGGGTGCACTGCGCTGTGACTTTAAGAGTACTCACGTTGAAAGGTTGAAGAGGTTTGGTTTGACCCTTTAATTTAGTCAAGTTCCTGTCTTCCCAACACACAGAGTTATTCCGGACCAACGCAGCATTTCAACACGTGTCAAAATACCTTAACAAAAGCGCCAAATAGTGACTCTCAAGACATTGTTTTCTAATGAGATGAGAAAAGATTTGTTCACAAAATGTTCCTTTTACTCTTTTTGTTGGGATAAACTTGCATTATCTTTATATCTTAATATAATGATAATATACAATTCATTCCATCCCCGCACACTATTACTTTACAACTGTAGCCGCAGCTGCCTTGGGACTGACTGACGGACACATCTCTCTCACACATGTAACAATAAAAATAAACATGTGTAACATTTGTTTAATGCTTATTTCACATTCAAAGGAACAAAAGCAAATTCGCTGCTGAGTAGTAGCACTTAGTTGTAGTAGTAGAAAGGCAAGGCAAGTTTATTTGTATTGCACAGTTCATACACAAGGGAACTCAAAGTGCTTAACAAAAAAAGATAGAAACAAAAGTAGAAGTGGCAGCAGTAGCAGTGGCAGAGTAGTAGTAGCCCCCCTGCCCCCTGTGTACCCGTGTCTGCAGTAGTCTTTAGATTGGCACGGGTCCAAACAACACGCCACCTTTCCCCTGCCCCCTGTCTGTCATATATATTTGATTGAAGGCTGTGTTTTAGATTTCTCCCTGTGTCTCTGTCCTGTTCCCGGCTCACAAAGGCTCATCTCTCTGGGCCGGCCCCTGGTGCGGCCCCTGGTGCGGCCCCTGGTGCGGCCCCTGGTGCGGCTCACTCTGTGGAACCGATGCCATTTAAGGTTCAGTGTAGCGCAGTCAGAGGAATGATGCTCAGATTCCAAACACTCTCTCCTCCGCCGCACGCTGCAGACGATAAAGCCTTATGTTCCACTAAAACTGTGTCTCTGAGAGGATTTGAAAGCAGGGATTTGCATTTGCTTTACTTGAGTGAATCTTAATGATGCCATTTCAAGATGTTTCTCACACTTTTGCAACTCAACCAGGGAAATATCCTTGGTCAGCTTGTACTGTATAGAAAGGGATTTGACTGGGAGGATTCGTCAAACTGATTTGGACCTAATACTTTTGTTTTAGTCTGAGGATTGGTCGTTTGTTATGGGAGAAAAAAGTGTTTAGTAGATACCGAGTTACATCCCTTTGAAAAATAGATGGGTCGTTATTATTTATCATAGGTAACCGCAGTTCAATTGACCGACAGAATGTGAAATATGCATAAAAATAAGATGAAGAAATAAGTAAGTAAGTTAGTAATGTTTATTATATTGCGCATTTTACAGACCAAGGTCACACAAAGCGCTTTACAATGGTCAGATATTGTTCCAATCATTCCACACACGGTGATGACGGAAGTAAGTACGGAAAATAAGATGAAACTTATACTGTACAATGGGATTCCCTCTGGTTCTGGAAGTACTGCGCTTTAACTTTAAAAGACTTATTTTCAAAGTTAGATGTTTGTTTGACTTTCCCGTCGTGGAAATCCAACACGGGTCCAAACAACACAGCAACCTTTCAACTTTCTTTTCAATATTAGCCAAAAAAACAAGGGACAGCAGTGGCAAACAAAAAATATCAAAGCTTGTCATTTTTTCTCTTTCTGAAATGACGATATTCAAATGTTGTGAGTGTATCTGTATGCGAGTAATAGCATAGCATTAGCATAGCATGTGTCCTGTATTACAGTATCTCCACAGCAGCCATACGTGAAGACAGCAGCTGAGCACAAAACCACCCTTTCCTCTTCCTTTGTTACCTGAACACATTCTGCGCGTGCACGTCGGTCACCCTCTGTCCACATGACTAATGCCAGGGTGCTCTGTGAACAAAGGGCCTTTTTAAGTGGACATTAATTGCACAAAAGACCTGTCTTTGCCCGGACAATGGGCCTCTATCAGGGCAGTGTGCTGGGCTTTATTCAAACACGTAATGTGGAGAGTTCTGGAGCACATTGTGTGAGGGAAAAGTCAAGGGGAAAGTCAACTTTTACAGAACGAAGGAGCAGGTGGATAGTAAATCTGCAGCCAGAGTGAAATGAAGATGATTGTGGTTTTGTCCATCAACGCCTTTGACCTGTATCTGATATTATTGTGATGAGGAGATGAGAATGTACTGGAATCATGCATTTTCTATTTGTTAACCAGGCTACAACATCAGCCTGGTTAAAAGGGCTTGTCCAATGAGGTTCATTTGGTCTGATAGATTCTTCAAGTTGATTATTTTGAATGCTGGAGCACAGACTTGACCACTCTGATATTTAAAAGAAAATCATCTTGTAGGATTGTTATGGTCAGCACGAGATAAGAACTTAAAAAGAGTTCCATTTGAAAAAGCGACACACAACCTTTCATACAACTATTGTTTAACAAATATGTCTGAACACTCTAAGTAGTTTTTATCTTGTATCACAAATTTGTTACAGTCGGACATGAGTGGTACACATTTTTGACAGTTTGGATGAATGGATGTTATAACATAAACTCAAAAAAGAGATGGGTTGCATTTCTTTAGTTGCTTTTTTTTTTGGCAAATTACTTACATAATTGCAGATGTTGCGACCAATAACAATTGCAATTCGATTCTCTCTCCTAAAACCTTAAAATCAGGACAGACATCAGTAACATCAGCATATTCTTATCCTGCATTTGTCTTCAGTCGGTTGGACGACTGTAACGGTCTTCTCACTGCGCTCTCCAAATGATGAGACTCAAAACGCTGCAGTTCAAGTCCTGACTAGAACCAGGAAGTATGATCAATACGTCCAGTTCTCAGGTCTCTGCGCTGGCTTTCTTTGGCTCAGAGAACAGGCTTTAAAGCAGCTCGGCTTGTGTACAGTATGAACCGACTGGGACTCTGAGGAGCACAGGGACTGGAATCCTGCTGGTGCCGCTAATACATCATCAAACTTTACCTGATTATGTAATAACTGAAGTGATACAGCATAAGGCTATTTGTCAATTCTTTATTTAATTGTGTAAATGAAGCGAAAACAACCTTTAAAACTGTGGAAACTGACTTTTTGAGTTGATAAATATTAGATCAAGTAAAATGTAAAAAATCATGTCTTCATCTTTTGAGAAAACGTATAATCTTGTGCATGAGCCCTGTGAATCACTTTTTGACGGTTTGGGCTGAGAGCTGATTGGCTGAGTGAGGGGGGGGTCGGTCCTCTCTTTTTCACTGAAAAAGCAGATGCCAAAAACACCTGCAAGCAATTTCTTAGATGCATTTTATGGCATACTTTTATTTGTGCTTTGAAATCTATAGGTAACTCAGCTTCAACCAATACAACAACTCTTCATTTTGCTTTCTATAAAACGCATTCTACCACTTTTCCCAAACGCACACCATAATCCGGGCACTTAATCTGCTGCAAACGGTCAAAATGAAAGCTTACCCTGTTCTCCCTTTTTCCTGGGCCCCTGCTAAACGCTAATTGGTCTGAAAACATGTATCTGATGTGGCCAGAGCACGGCCGCGACCGCTGCCCGACAGAATCTGTGCCGTTGGAGCTCGGCCGCTGTGGGAGGTAAAGGGAGCACTCCTGAAGCCGCGGGGGGCAGTGAGAACGCGAGGAGGGGGAGGAGGAGAAGGAGGAGGAGGAGGAGCAGGAGGAAGGCAAGTTTATTTTGCTGTGTGAATGCGAGGAGAAGGGGACATGTCTAACAGGAGGAGGCAAGTTTATTTGCACAGTTCATACTAAATAGAAAAATATGCATTTACTAAATACAACAGAAAGTATTGATTGCCATGCATTGAAACTACAGTATATAGATTTAAATATATTCATGTTTTCCTTCCACTGTCTGCGTCATCAATAACATAGAATAAAACAAGAAACAAATCCGGTCTGTTGGGGAAAATAAGACTGTGAACTGTGAGCAGAGACAGAGGCAGAGGATGAGGATGAGGGTGAAAGTCAGTTAAAGGAGAGAGAATGGCTCTGGTTTCCCTTGTTCTGCTCCTTGTTCTGCTCACACATGTCCAGATGTCTCATAATCCAAGATCCTGAACTGTGCAATACAGGCAGATGTATCACCATGGAGACAAGCAAGCTAAGAGTGGTCCACAGGTGACTGTAGATGCAAAGGGAACTTTCATTATTCAGACAGACAGATAAATGAAAAAGCAGAGTGTGCAACAACCCACACTTAGTTCTTTTCTATTGAGATTCTTGTCCCAACCCACTAAGCAAGCCGACGTTGAATCAACGTAATTTGAACGTCGTTGTCCGACGTAGAATATAGGTCACTGGTGGGTGCAGAATGAAAGTTTTCTCGACGTCGTTTCCCGACGTCACCTCAACCTCCAAATGTTACGTTGATGGCACGTCAATTCAAGGTTTGAATGTGGTACGGAACCGGTCGGGTCTGACGTCCTATCAACGTCTCATATGACCAAAATATTGACGTTTATATGACGTTCGTTTTCAGTCGTTCCCACTGATCTTGCACTGCACAGGTAACCAGTGACAGGTGGGAAGGAGTGATGTGTCAGTATATTTGATCAGGTTAGCATTTCTCCTGTAGGAAACTGTTTAATCTGTAGATCCCGGCATGGCAAACTCGGGCCCGTGGGCCAAATGCGGCCAGCGAGAGACCATTTTTAGTGGCTCCCGAAATGATTTTCATTTATCAGTATCACAGTATCATGCAACATTGGCATGTTATACTTCCTTTTATAGATAAATTTCTCAGGAAAGCAACCATATAATTGCGTCTGAAAGGCTAACATGTAATAAGAAATTGAAATTGAAATTGTGACCAATTGTGATTGAATCCAACTGCTAGAAAACAAACTAGAAAACAATGTCCAAACTCATATTTAATAAAATTCATTTGTCAAAGTAAAAAAATTCACTTTTATACTTTTGGCCCCAAACAGATTGTATATTTTTAAAGTTGGCCCCAACCAGAATGAGTTTGACATCCCTGCTGTAGACGGTCAATTTGTTCTCTATTAAGGCCAAAGATTAGTGCATTACCATAATTGAGACGTGAAGTAATCAAGGCATGTAAAATCAATTCATTTTAGATCGTGACACTTTGGGTCTACACTTTGATGTTTGAAAGACGAAAAGAAGTCCGAGAAAAGTACTCAATGTGCTGCTGGTAAATTAGGGCCTGATTAAGAGAAATTCCAAGGTCTCTAAGAGAATGTTGGCCATAGACTGTGCAACGATGGACAATGCTCTATTTCACTGAAGCCCTATAAGGAAGAGCCCATAGACGAAGTTTTTCTAACCTGGCAAGAGCCAGATTGATGATTGTGTAGAACTCTAATGCGTTCTCCACAATATCAATCTGGGACTTCTGCAGGAGAATCCTTTCAGGGAAAGGAGGGATAAGCAGCAGAATACTTCAAGCTGATTGGGCGAAGTGACGCCGTGTGCCCGCCTACCAAAACTCGTAGGTAAAAATGCACAAACATCTTTGCCGTCCAGAAATGCACAAAGCGCCTCTCGCTGTTCATCTTTCAAAAAAGAAATTAGAGATTCTGCTAAAACTGACTTGATAGCCTCAGCTACGCGTCCGTCCTCCTGCGTAGCCATGTTTGTTTTGCTTCGGCCCGGCACTTCTTGCTTCAGATTCAGATTCAGATTACTTTATTTACCATTGTGAAAAACACATAGAAATTTGACTTGGCAACATGACAGTGTGCATTCATCTTTTTTCACATATAATTTAACAAAAAAGTGCAAGAGATATAAATAGAATAGTGTAATAAAGTGCCATAGTGTTCAGTCCTTGTTCCTAGGGGGCAAGGGAAGAAGGGAAACCAGCGTCAGTGAGCAGTGCTTTCGTCAAACCCGGATATCCCGCCCTAAACCCCCAGACTGGCGCGTGATTGGCTTGAACACCTAGATGTTCTACTCGAAAAGGATTGGCGGGAGCGGGGCAAGATGTATTCTCGAGTGTTTGTGAACTCACAAATACCACAAGAATTCAGCTTGCAGGCAAGGTTAAAGTTTCTGCTTCTTGCTCTAGCTATCGATTTACATTGACAAGTAAACTCCTCTAACCGTCACAGTTTTGGGCTTTCATTGTTCAGCACTCAGTATCCGGGGGGTTTTAATTTTGATATTGTTGGGTCAATAAGAATTGACCCATCAGAGGCTTTCATTCACCGTGGTAACTCCAGCTTGACTTAGCAACCCTCCTAGCAATGCGCTTGCCTCTGCTACGGCGCAAAGCTAATATCCTCGAAATAAATGCCCATGTAAGGAAATCGGCTCCAGATAGTTTATGTTCAAATTGGGGTCTTCTTCCTCTACGCTCTGTGCATTCTTGGAGATTGCGTGATCAGTGCCAGGGTTAACTATTGTTGTGCCTGTTTAGATTTTGATCTTTCTTGCCGCTCAACCCGATATCTCCAGTGGTACTGTGTGTGTGTGTGTACGTGTGTTTTCTCAGTGACGCACCTAACTTTCTGGCAGTCTGCTCCGTCGCACATGGCGTAGGCTCAGAAGTAATTAAAGTGAGGCGTGCAGAGCTTAAGTGTTCCTTCTGACGGTGACGGCAGAAAGACGGTCTGTTCGTGAGAGAAGTATAGCAGCGCCATAATTAGTCAAAGCGCAGATGCAGACAAAGCAGAGAGGGACAAATTACATGGTTTTAAACAATCATGGGAAATTTTGTGTTTGTGCCTAGAAAAACATCATAGTGAACTAAACTAAACAGCTGCTGAGATATGTGTACAAAGTATCATTGTGACTTTTTTAACACATTTTCTATGTTTTCGTCTCCAGCCTTCACTTCTACTTCTTTGTGGGCTCCTGCTGCACTAGGTTTCTCTTGTTGCTCTGGTGTGCATTTTCTATTTGTTTGCTTTTTTTGGCCAAATACTGCTATAATTGTTTGATTTTTTCTATCCTGATAATGGCAAATCAACAATTGTGAGCAGTCTATCAAGACGGCTTTGCAAAAAATAGATTGATTTGATATAGCTATCTATTTAATTTTGATGATTGGTGGCTCCTCTGAACCTTGTCCCTGTGGCGCCACCTGCATGTGAAAGCCAGATAATATCAGACCTCTGAAGCTAAGCAAGACAAAACCTGGTTAGTTCTGAGATGGGAGACCGCTGGGAACACCAGATGCCACTGTGGGGCGGCAATAATGTGGCAAACCGTTGTAGTGTTCTTAAGACACTTCACTCACATTGTCTCGTGTTGGTGGTGCTCTGTGGGGCTGATGGCACATACTGTTTGCCTCGCCTCTGTCAGTGTGCTGCGCGGTTACAATAATAGCAATAATAGTAGCCACCTAAATAATTTCATGTGATGTGTCTTTGAGTGTCCAAAAAAGCGCTATATAAAACTGATCAATCAAAAATGTCAAAATTGACTTAAAATTTAAACAGAAGAGATTTTGTTTTCCTTTCCCTTATTTGGTTGTGGGCTGGCCTGTTTTCAGACCATCTTGCTGCTGTTTTTAAAGGTGCCAATAGTTGGTTTCATTATCTTGAATCAAATAGTTAAAATGTTCTGTCAGTTATTGTAGGTTTGTAGGTACTGATGAGTTTTTTAATAATATGTAAAATATGATTTGCATAATAGACTTATTTTTCCATCATCAAACCCAGATCTGGAGTTGTTTTACACATCAGGAACTTAGCACAAACAAGTGACCCTGCCCATTCTGTCTAAAAGCTCCTGTCTCAGTCCTTTATTAGTATGATGTCATTGTACTACTATGACATCATACTCAGAGCACTTCTCCGCTTTTTAAAACCAAACGCTTGCTCATAAAGTATTTTTGGCAATTTCACAGTTTTTACAATCACATATGCTTTCGTTTGTAGGCAACAATTTGGAAATTTGGTAATTTGTCGATAAGAAAAATATCGACATACATTCTACTGCGCCCTCTGGTGGTAGCATAGGGGATGACCAATGTTTGGCCTCTCATAGGGAGAAGTTAGCTCTGAAATACTTCCTGAACTGGTTTCACTGGTTGAATAGGCCCATCTTTCTGGCCTGGCTTTTGTTGTTATGAGCAGTTATGGTCCTATTGTCAATCTATGTTCAATTGACTTTTCCAATCTCTTTAATTTTGATACTTGTGGAGGGCTCACACTGCTATATGTTTGAATGTACAGTATTAAAAACTCACACAAAACACCATTGAATTGTTAAAATTTACTGTAATCTTTAATCTCTATGTACATCTCCAGCCCTGTACCTCCCCCAATAAAGGAAAAAAAATTGAATACTTTTCATATATGTTGTGAGTTTTACAGCTTCTGTACAGGAGTTCTGTTTTCATGAGTCACATTTAGGGCAGAAACATCATTTACTTTGTTCCAAAAACCAAGAACGAGCATAAATGGATTTGACAGGGGACACAGCTCATGGGGGCATGTACAGAAGCAGCGGGACTCAACTATGTACAATACAAACCATTCATACAAATTAGGCTCTAGGATATAATTCAGTACAATACATTTGTATATATTCAGTGACAATGAGCAAGCCCCTTTCCCCATGGACCACATAAGCCCAAAATGAAGCAACCATATTCTGTCCAGAGGCAACTATTCCCACACACAACGCCTCTCACACCCAGGTCTTTGATGCTCAGCCGTGCCTCTTCAGCTGCCTTGCAAGATCATTTTTTTATATAGTTTTTTTCTTTCTTTTTTTCTCAGTGTATTTCCAAGTTTTGCAGGAAATCTCCAAAAGCATAGCTGTGGCAGACAATCCGTTTTGTCCAGGGGATAATGCACAGTCGAATGAAGGAGATATGGAGGAATTAAACACAACATACATCAAACTTAATAATACAATAAATAATGGCAAAGTGTAAGAAAAATATGTAACTCAAAGATGAATGTGTTCCCCCCCATTTGAATGATTTTAAATAAGATTCACAATAAGATCAGGGCATTTATTTGGTTAAAAACTTAAACTAAAATTTAATTCTGAGTTGCAGCCCTTGTTTGTCACCAACATCCTGTCAACAATACCAAATTGTTAATAGAAAATAATAATATTTAAATAAGCTTACTTTTCAATTACTTTAACCTATTTTTGTTGACTCAAATGATAGAAAAGGTGATGCAAAGTGAATCAAAAATCAACAACCATGTAAGACAGAAAAAAACCATTACAGTAGGTCCAGATCACAACATAATCTTCGGAGACTACAATAACTTCAGGGTCCACGATAACGATTCCTTTTAAAGTCAATTTCTTGTCGACACCAGTCCTCAGTTTCAGAACATAAAGAGGTTGCCTTTGGATGACAATATCTATGAACAAATAACCAAAACCTTGCTAACTACGCTAGCATAAATCCCGACTAAGAAAATAACACATCTAGAAACTCAACCAGGGGGTTTCGTCAGGGTCTTAAAAAGTGTAAGAACAATGATGGTGCAGTTTCTCTGAGTAGGAACCCTTGCGCTGGTCCTGGTTCAAGTTTTGTTTTTCCAAGTTTTCCGCGCCGTCAGCCGGAGGGGAAGTACGGCGTGTCGCTGTGGTAGTTGTAGTCCGGGCAAACCTTCTGAACCAGTTTGTAGTCAGTGCTATAGAAGGAAATGAAGATGCAGATGACTTTGAAAGGCTTCGAGCAGAGCCAGGACACGTGACTCTGCGTCTGCTCCTGGTAGCATGTCTTGGACGGGTCAAAGTTGCAAAGCGTGTTCTTGGCTCCCTTCTCCACCTTCTCGTACTCGATGCGACAGTTGAACGACTTGGAATCCTTGGCGTCGATCACGGATTGTTGAGCAGCCACGTCGAACTCCACGATCTTGGTGGGCGGGACTAGGCTCACCGAGACGTTCCCTTGACCCGTGGAGTTGTGTCGGAAGTACACGCTGAAAGTCCCGTTGCCGTGGTCGACGATCTTCCCGGTGATGAGTAGGTTGAGTTTGACGGTCTTGATGTTGGAATGGAAGTCTCCCCAGCCGAACATCTTCTTGAACTTGCCCGTCTTGACCATAGGCCGCCGTTTGGCCCGCGGCCGTGAGTCCTGGAGGTCCGTGGTGTTCCGCAGCCACTCCCACAGGTCCTGCTCGGAGTACGGTTCAGGCGTGTCGTAGCGGAGGTCCAAGGCTGTGTTGTTCTCTTTGCCGTGAAGAGTCTGCGAGAGTAATCGGCTGATCGACAGGTCCTTGCTGCTTTCTGTCCATATGTGCTTTAGCGTGGATTTAGGGCTGCCTGATTTGATGATGTCCGACTTGGAGGCGTGAACACTTGTGACCTGTGGACAAGAAGGAAAAGAAAGGATTGAGATTAGAATTGTTTTAATGACACACAATTGTGGTTTTTGATTTGTCCGATACTGAAGAACTTTTGTCAGTCAATCTATACATTTCTCTCTGATGTATTAGGGGTTAATGTTGAACCTGCAATCACAATTGCAATATTTGGCGTTTTACAAAGAGCTTTTTCTTCACAGTTAAAATATAAAAGAGGTTTTGCTCTCACCAGAATTTGGGCACAAAGTCTCAAAAGGATTTACAAAAACCCTTTAAATTGTGACTTGTTGATCAATCAGTGTTTTCAAAACACTGATTGGGAAATGATCTGCAGCTCTCATGGTGAGGACATCGAGAGCCTGACACACTGCATTACAGACTATATTCTCTTCTGTGTGGATAACACTGTACCAACTAAGAAGGTGCGGTGTTTTTCTAACAACCACCCATGGGTGACCCCTGAGCTTAAAGCCCTCCTGGCCCAGGGAAGCGCCCGCGACGTGTGGAGAGGCCTAAAGAACATCTCCGGCTTTGGACAGAGTGCCAGAGGAACAGCAGATGGAGACCAGCACCGGGCGGACGAATTTAACCAGTACTTCAACCGGTTTGATTCTCCCCCCTCTCCATCTGCCCCCCTCCCGCCCCCACCTCTTCACACGTCCCCAGCAAAGTGGACACCGCCCAGTGGACACTGCCTCCGGCTGCCCCGGGCCCTACTGCCCCCGCATCCCCAGCCCCCACCTCGGACAGTACACCCGGGTCCCCCCCCCTCTCCATCAAACGGACCAGGTGAGGAGTCAGCTCCAGCGCCTGATGCTGAGGAAATCCGCAGGACCGGACGGGATCAGTCCCAGGCTGCTGAGGACCTGTGCAGACCAGCTCTCTGGGGTCCTCAGCTACATGTACAACCTGAGCCTCAGCCTGGAGAAGGTCCCTGTCCTGTGGAAGACCTCCTGTGTGATCCCGGTCCCAAAAACAGCACACGCCAAGGAACCGGCTCACTACAGACCAGTCGCACTGACCTCCCACCTGATGAAGACAATGGAGCGGCTCATCCTCACCCATCTCCGCTCCGTGGTCAGCCCCACCCTGGACCCGCTGCAGTTCGCCTACAGACCCAACATCGGAGTAGAGGACGCCGTCATCTACTTCCTGCAGCGGACGCTCTCCCACCTGGAGCCCGCCGGGAGCGCTGTGAGGGTCATGTTTTTCGACTTCTCCAGCGCTTTCAATACCATCAGGCCAGCACTGCTGCAGGGGAAGATGGAGGACGCGGGAGTGGACAGTAGCCTCACTGCATGGACCATCAACTACCTCTCAGACCGACCACAGTACGTGCGGCTGCGCAGCTGTGAGTCTGAGGTGGTAGTCTGCAGCACTGGGGCCCCTCAGGGCACTGTCCTCTCACCGTTTCTCTTCACCATCTACACCTCAGACTTCACACACGACACACACAGCTGTCACCTGCAGAAGTTCTCCGACGACTCCGCCATCGTGGGCTGTGTGTCTGAGGGGAACGAACTGGAATATCGGTCGGTTATCAAGGACTTTGTCGACTGGTGTGAGCGCAACCACTTGTGCTTGAACACCAGTAAGACCAAGGAGATGGTCATCGACTTCAGGAGAAAACCACTTTCCCACACGCTGCTGAACATCCAGGGGGAGGACATTGAGCTGGTGGACAGCTTCAAGTAGGGATGTAAAAAACTATGAATTTTCATGACCGACCACCGAGCCTCAATAACCGGTTGAAACCGGTTAACCGCGTAGTTTAAAATAGTCCACGTTCTTTGAAATAACAGCCATTTCGAGCCGCGTACTTTTCATAAGTGCAGCTCTGCGTTCTACTGGATCAGAGTTGAGACAGCGGCGCCCAAACCCGCAACAGCTCCGGCACCTTTGCGCACAGAGAACTGCTTTTTTAATCTTCCCATTCTGCTGTGCTGCGGGTGAATACCAAAACTTTCTAGCAGCAAACGACGGCTCGTTCACATGGTCAGAGCAGCGAGTGACGAGCCGCGTCTCACAGGTCTTCACAAAAGTTTAAATACAAGTGATGTGTGTGGAGCTGATCCCGAGGACCATAAACACAAACATGTTTCCCCTACAGCAAAACATGTAGGGGAAATACGCGGCTCCCAAAGGAGCCGCGTATTTGCGCGAATCCTTTGGGCTTCGTGACACAGAGGAGCGCGACAGACCGGTATGTGTGTGTGTATGTATGTGTGTATGTGTATGTATATGTGTGTGTGTGTAAATGTAAGCTCCAATGTAGTTCTGACCCGCGCCAGTGTGCAACTTTGACGGTAACAGAGGGGAGAGATGATGCGTGTGGATGTTACGTATGGAGAGGGGAAAGTGTGTGTGTGTGTGTGTGTGTGTGTGTGTGCGCGCGCGTGCGTGTGTGCATATGTGGCTCGTGCGGCGTGAGAGTCGTCCCGGTGTTTATAATACATGGGCGCACACAGCTAGATACAGACCCGCTCGTCACACCGTGCAAATAGGGCTTAAAATAGCGTTATTAAGAGACCTCCCCTCTCCCCTTTTTCTCTTTTTTTAACCGGCAGCTTTGACCGGTTAACGCTGTGACGGTCAACCACCGGTTAAACGGTCGCCGATTTACATCCCTAGCTTCAAGTACCTGGGTGTTCACATTAACAATAAACTGGACTGGTCCCATAATACAAACGCCCTGCACAAGAAGGGCCAAAGTCGCCTCTTCCTCCCAAGGAGGCTGAGGTCCTTCGGAGTGAGCAGGCCTCTGCTCAGGACTTTTTATGACTCTGTGGTAGCTTCTGCCATTTACTACGCTGCCGTGTGCTGGGCCCCGGGCAGCACAGAGCGGGACAGAAACAGACTGAACAAGCTGGTCAGGAGGGCCAGCTCCACTCTGGGCTGCTCCCTGGACTCTGTGGAGGAGGTGAGGGACAGGAGGGTGCTAGCCAAAGCCACCTCCATCATGAACAATACCTCCCACCCACTGCACAGGACTGTAGAGGAGCTGAGGAGCTCCTTCAGTGGAAGACTGAGGCACCCTCAGTGTAGGAAGGAGCGCTACCGCAGGGCCTTTATCCCCACCGCTGTCAGACTGTACAATAAGTCACTTTAAATGATCACTGTGTGAAAACCTGCACTACTATTGACACTGTTTCCAATTGACACTTGTCACTTTTGTTGTACATAATTATTGTCACTTTATTGTACATATATATCCTGCATGTAACATGTTTGCACATTTCCTCCCTTTGCACAATCTGAGTGTCTCTATCCATGCCAAATGTGACATGTAAATTTCTCCTCTGTGAGATAAATAAAGCAATCTTATCTTATCTTAAACCATTAAAAAGAGTTTTTCTATAAAGGACTGTCCCGACGTGCTTTTCACTACCAACCATTTTTTTATGTTGAAAAATAAAAGTTTTTAAAAGGCTGTATGAGTGGTCAGCCTTTACTTTCCATCACAGAGCACCAGAAAACCTACAAAACAAATGATCCTGGAGCTCTGTAGACACAACCCTGAGCTCTAGTCGGTGTGAACATATATAATTGCATATTGTAAAGAGAGAGCGCAATAGCCAGTTAGACGCACCCATGCTCACCGTTGGTACACTCTCCTCAAGGTCTTTAAAACATTTAGTGGGATAACAGATTCTTTTGTTCATAAATGTCTCTACAGAAAGAGTGTTCTAAAAGTTACATTATGTGAACCAATCAGAGCATAATATTCTGTCTTCATTGTATTTAGGGCAGAAAGCAGCTGAGTGAGGGTGGTCCTCTCTTTTTCACTTTTCTGTCTGAAAAAGTTGATCTAAAGATGTGAAAGAGGCCGAAAGTAAAAGCATGTGCAAACTAGTGATTGGAGTAAACTCTTTTGAGCAGGGTGGATTGTACTAATTCCATTTCTAGTGGTTTGAAGTTAGGTACCCTAGCTTTAATGTACATGATAGTACAGGCTCTTGTGGTTAAACTGTATGCATTCTTTTAAAAATTATATACAATTGAAGTTACTGTCAACACCTTTAATTCTATCTACGTCTCGATCAGCTATCTATCAGAATTAAGATAAGGATTTTAATAGATAGCTGATTAATTATAGGACTAGTTCAATCAATTATAACAATAATCATAATATTTCCACATCTAGTTAAATTGTGAAGTTTCAAAACAACTATGAACCCGAATAGTGTGGCGGGAATGAGCACTTTGATGTGACTTATACCAGCACATGAGGAGCTAAAGCAATCCCCCAATGTAATGTTTGGATTATTCTTTATGATAAATAATAATTACAGATGCAAATTCAGGAATGTAGCTAACAAGACCCTCAGGTTGTAAAGCTGTTTGGAAAAAGTAGCTAATATTGAAATTATAGATTTAAAATGTGTTTACAAAATAAGACATACAATGGAAGTACATGTAATCCATACTTTTCCAATTCCAGTCGATGTGGCGTTCATTTAGAATAGATGGTACCATAACACTATAATATTTTCACTGTATTCGATGCATGCCCCGAGGAAAGAAATGGCCTATTGTGACATGGAATGTTACTTTCATAATATGCTATGCTTTATTTATACTCTATTATATGTGTTGAATGATTTATATGTGAATTACACACATTATCCATCATGCCATTTGGAAGTCATTGATTTCCCCCAGTCCTTAATACATAATAACTGCCAGATCAATCCAGTGTGAGTCCCCAGGGCCCAGCAGATCAATGCCGGCTCCTCTCGCCAATGTCAAATGATGTTAAAATATGTCTCCGTTAAAATACTCGTCCATTTCACTCTATCCGGTCAAACTGCCACAGTATCAGGCACAGAAATGGGACCATAGAGAGCAAACCGGGTCCAGACAGGGACTATGGAATGATAACTGTAAGATTAAAACAGCCAACACAGAATGTGTTGATTTTAGAAGTAATACATTCACAACCTAAACGTAAAAGGACCTGCACTTCCTGACGAGACTCTCTCTTTGGTTCTTTCACTGAAGAAGAAATATTATGTTGCTATTATTTTCAGGCTACGTTTGAAAAGAGTGAAGAGTAAAAAACTCTTTCAGCCTGTAACTCCCAAGGCTGCCACCAGAGGGAGGAGTTTAATTTGTTTAATTACATGCATGAAAATGATTACAGCCATGCGATCGCCATTTCACTTGAGATGTTGCCAAAATGAAGACCTTTCAATTTACTGTTAAATTATAAACACAAAGCATAATGTTTCTGGAATTGAGTGAAATTGAAGCACACTTACATGATGTCTATAAAATGTAAGTAACTAACGTTTATTTATTTATATTGCACATATTTACTAACCAGACCAGTTATTGTTCCATTCTCTCCATATGGTGATGACGGAAGTGCGACACCAAACACACCGATGCATCAAAACCTCCAACCAACACCATCCATTCACTCACTCAATACATTGAGACCTATTGTGCATATTCTTAGTAGTAGGGGAAACCGGAGCACCCGGAGGAAACCCGGGGCAAACGGGGGAAACCTACGCAGACACAGGGAGAACCTGTATGAATGAATGAACATGCAAACTCCACACAGAAGGAATCAAACCCAGGACCTTCTCTCTGTGAAGCACAAGCTCCAACCGCTGCACCACCGTGCTGTATGTAAAAGAACATGCTTTTTTTATAGTAATTTTTATACTTGTCAGAAAGAGCTCTGGAAGTCACTGTTTGAGGCGTTGGGCTGAGAGCTGATTGGCTGAGTGAGGGTGGTCCTCTCTTATTCACTTCTCTGTCTGAAAAAGCTGATCTAGATGTGACAGATGCATTTGGAAACTAGTGACCAAACAGTTTTGAGAGCAAAGAGCGATCTAAATAGACTTGACTATTTATTGTAGTACCCAAACATAAAAATATTTGTTGAAAAAAATGACCAAATTTGGGTGCATACATTTGTTAATGCATTAAACCAAAAATAACACTTCTTTTGCCAAAGCTATTGAACTTTATGTTGGATATTTGTAACCAAGGATACTATGGGGTTAAAGTTAGGTACCCCAGCTTTAATATCCAAAATTGTCGCTTCAAACCGTGCATAACAATGTTTCTTTCGGGACCTTTTCAAACTCTCAATCCCGACGTGTGCCCTTTGGTGAACACGGACAGACCTCCTTGGATCGAAGCAGTAAAACCGGCTCGTTGACCTCCGCGGCCTCCGAGCGCCGTGATTGATGTGGCGAAGGCTCTGTGCGTTTAAAGCGCACCAGGGCAATCGCGAGCACACCGTGGCGCCGCTGGAGGAACGTGACATTGATAAGCCCACTCCTACTGTACGAAGTGACAGCAGATCGCTCTTGCCCAGGTTTTTTGCATTTCGCAGACCGGATCGATACGCACAAAATAAGGTTGTGCTACCAATCGCTTTGACTAGAATTGGCCCAAGGTCTCGCTTCTGGGCGCATGGGTGGCGGGGGCGACAGAGACGGCGGAGGTAGCAGTTTGGTGAAGTGGAATAGAGAGTGTGTGTTAATGAAATAGATGTTGTGTTGACGGTGTTAACGAAAGCAATACTGGTCAGACGAGCCTTTTGAGTCCATGCTTTGAGCTGAGAGCTGATTGGCTGAGTGTTCAGACAGAATCTTTTTTCTTTCTGAACAAGATATTTTAACACTAGGTCTCCCAGAACTACTAACTCATGTGATGAAAAACAAGGACCTCCAAAAATGCAGGAGTGACCAAAACAAAAGGTTGAATACACAAAACTCAAAAATAACAAAATCCAATATATAACAGAATTCCAGACTCACAACAAAACAGGGACAAAAACACAACAAAACAACAATAAGAGGAAAGGAGCACAGGGTTTAAACACACACAGGAACACACACAGTAACACACATTAGGGCGAGACAGGCAAACAGGAAGTAACACTGAAAACAAAATAAAACCAAGTATGACGGCTCTGGGAGTGCTTTTAGTTTCAGAATTCTGGGACTCCTCGGGGTGATATTAAGCAGAAGCTGTATTAATATTTGTCCCTTACGTCTGATCGTGGAGCATTTCCTGTGGTAGACTTTAAAATATTGGCATAGATGTGTTTTGACAGATCTGTAACAGCAGGAGCGGCTGGTAGGAACTTCAACCTCCAATAAAGAATAAAGCCATTGTAAAAGTATTTTAAGCACAAAGTTGTACACTATTTTCTGCATAAAAACAACACATGGATTAAAAAAGGCAGGGAAGATCTGTACTGCTCTTACAACATCTGACAACAGGGACATAAATAAATAAATGTATTGTCCAGACCAGGTATAGCTACGATCTATCTCAACGTTTACCGGTCCTCTCTCTTCATCTCTTCTCTGCCTGAAAAAGCAGATCTCAAAATGTACAAATATAATCTTTTTGTTTTTCATCAGCCAAAAAATACCATATCATTTGTTTTATTTCGGTTGTTTTTTTGTGTGTTAATTGTCTCTATTCGATGTCTTCTGATTATGTCATCAATGCTACCTAATAATTCCACCATTATTTTTGGGTGTTTCTCTGTTTGCTAGATAAAAGATACCCACGTTGTTTACATGTTGTCATGACACATCTATGGTATGTGAGCCAGTACCTAGACACACAGATATTGTTACATAAAGGATGAGAGAACATAATTGTAACGCAACTGAACTAAGAAAGGCGTCACTCAAATAATAACAACGGGGAGCAGACGGTGGACACCAGAGCTCTTGCTACGCCGCCATCTTGGATTTCTCTTTGTTTGCGAGGCTATGGCGACTTTTGCACATGTATTCCAATGTGGTTTTCCAGCAAATGGCAACTAAAATTAATCTGAATCTAGTCACAAAGTGCATATTTACAGCTATAATGGATTCCCCCCCCCTTTCCTCCGCCCCCCGTGGAGCTGCAGCGTGTTGATCCAGACTGGAGTGGCCGCCTGGGACTATCTTTATCCAGCGGTGAGAGCACTTGGCTGGGTGAAGCGTTCAGCAATCACAGCCTATTCAAACAGGTGAGCTCAGGAATGCAGCGCGGATTATGTCACAAAGTTGATATCGCTTTTGCCTGTGAGTATGGTATGTACAGACAAATGTGTTGCATACCATATGTGTAGGATTATTATTGTTATTATTGAAATAAAATACCATAGCTTCAGGCGGAGACGCTCTTTGACTTGTAATCCGCAATAACGTTTAATCCAAGCAGGTCATTTCACACAGAAAAAATGAAGTGGAATTGCTTTTCACCAGGGATGAGAATATAAAAAAGGTGAACACTTTTAATGTTGACACAAAATAGAACGCAGTAATGAAATGGCCTCTAAACAGTTTCACATGCATGTATGGTAGGTCTACGTCACAACTTCAGGACAACTTTTTCAGACAGAAAAAGTGACTGGAAGGGAAACAGAATCTTGTGGTGCAATTTGTTCACAAACATACTTTTTACAAGAATTTTGAAAATTAAGTATTTTTGGGCGGGGGAGAGGGTGGAAATGGATTCTCCTCTCATTTCCAAAATGTTGAGTAATCTTTATTCTTCAAGACCCATGGAAGGATTGCCGCGGTACACTTCAGTAGCTAATGGGAATCTAAATATTCTCATCTGTCAAAACTAACGATCTGCAGTGAAAAGGCGGTATATAAATAAAAACTTACTTACTTACTTACTACTTACCCACCTCTGTTCATGCTGCTTTTAACTGTGTTTTAAACTGTTTTAGCTGAATGTACTGCAAATGTAAACGGGTTCACATGTGATGTTATGCCTAGCGTACTTCGGACTGGCAACTGATTATATCCGTCGCATATGAGTTGCTGCCCTGCACACATCGACAATCTAACGAAAACGGGCAACTCCCAGTATCAGACCAGTCTCAGGAATAACAGCGCGTACATCGACAGCAACTGGCCTCAACTACAGTGTGTTTTCTGACATAAACTGCTGCGGGCTCGCAATACACGCAATACACACACGTTGTCGGAGCGGCGCATGGAGCGCGCACATCGGGTCATATCTCCGAAACTGAGGACAACTAGTTGCCGAAAAGTAGAACACGGGCAACTGACTGAATCCGGAGATCGACTGTTTATCTCCAGTTGTAAGAGCGTGCACATCGACCGATTTCGGCAACTGATCATCTCCATCTACTCTCAGTTGCCAAAAGCCGCCTTGCAACTAGTTGTCTCCAGTTACTCTGTCGATGTACGCTAGGCTTAAGGCAACCTTGAGTAGCTATAGAAAGGCGCCTAAAAAATATGATGTGTTATTGTTATGATTATTATCATAATAAAAACAAACAAACAAGATGTTGCTTGAAATCTAGAAGTATGAAAGCTTATTTGGAGAGCAATATGGCAGTTTAAAAAGTTATAATCTAAGCCACATCTTGAATTAAACCTCCAGAATCAGACCCTTCTTGCTGTGAAGCAAGTGCTAACCACTCCCCCAATGTGCCAAAATTATTGGCTGCAAAATACATTCTATGAATCTCTGTGTGCAGATTCATTGAAGATATAGAGAAACGCAGACAAGATTAGGATCATTTCTGAATGCATCTTGTCGGGAAATCTTAATGTGGGAAAATCATGGGGACAATGGAGGAAAATTATGTAAAATGTTGAACCAGAGACATAGCGTGACATCACATCCCTCTGCGCTCACCACACTGAGAACTCACGGAAAAAACTTTCACACTTATTTTTCATTTATTCATATTACTTGCACTAGAATATACAATATTTTATACTCCTTATTATGCTAAAGTCTTGCTTCTTCATCATGCCAAAGTTGGATATTTTAGACTTCTTTGCTTTTTATGCTAGAGTTAGAGATTTTATTATAAATTTTGGATTGTATGAGACTTTATTTTATTTTAGTATATAGTCATTATTTATTTATCTTGTGCTGTGTAACTTGTGATGCAACACTGACATATCCCCACTGTCTTCATCTTAATCTTAATTCCTATTTTAGTTTTTCCTCTCAGCACCGTTACCATGTGCGCGCTCGTCATCTGGTGCCGAGTCGCTGTGAGGTGACGAGGGGGCAGCAGTGATTAAAGACGAGAGCGCTCACTTTGGGAAGAAATAAAACTGCTCTCAATTCCTCCGTACCTGCATCTACAATTATCTCCTCCAAGCCCATGGTGCAGAGAGGCCGCCATGAGAGGCCGCCATGAGAGGCCGCCATGAGAGGCCGCCATGAGGCCAGCCGCGGCGGTGCATGTGGGATATCGTTTAAGAGTTATTTAAGGTAAAACTCTTCTGATGAGTCAGTGCTGGGCTTTGAATTTCTATATTGTTAAAATCTATGTTAAAGGAATCTTCTTTGAGCATTTAACCGTGTTACAACATTCCTTCGTTCTCAACCATCCACGCTAAAATCACACATCTCTGGCACAAACATGGTAACTTACGTCTTTATTATGCTAAAGTCAGAGATTTTATTTTATTTCAGCATATTTTTATTGTTTCCATATCTTGTGCTGGTGCTCCTCATTCCTGCTGTTCTGCAACCGGTGATTCAAAAATACAATTTCACCCTAATCTTCTGTCCAAAAGCTCTTACAAGTCTCAGTCTTGTAAGTGTGATGTCATTATACAACTATGACATCACACACTCAATTATTTCCGATGAATTAGTTTTGGCAACTTCTCAACTGAAATGATGTCATTTACAATCACAATTAGTATTTGCAGCCAGTAAATTTCTAATTTGGAAAAAAAAAACAATGAATGAATTCCCCCCTCCCTCTGGTGGTAGAATAGGGATAGGGCAGGCTGATAGCCTTTTTTTGTTACCCTAGATGCTTGTTTCAGTAAATGTATCTACTGAGCATGGTTTCATTTACATTTTTATCAGCCAAAATCAAAGCATGATATTTCTTTCTTTGGGATGATTTTTGAGCCTTTACTTATTTGTTTTGGCATTCTGAGTGACGAGGAGTCACAACTGGGAATTTGCTTTTGCTCTCTTAATAATTTAAGACTGAAGTCATAAATATAGAAATAAATTTAACATACTTTTTTGTGTGAGTGTGTGTGTGTGTGCGTGTGTGTGTGTGCGTGTGTGTGTGCGCGTGTGTGTGTGTGCATCATGCGTGTGTGTGACAAGATAGTTCATATTTTTTACTCTGAAGTTAATTCCTGCATTTTTAGCTGAGTTTGTACATGAGCTATAATGACAGAATCGGAATCCTCCCGAAACACACCTGCATGTGAAAGCCGGATCCCATCAGACCTCTGATGCTAAGCAGGTCAGGCCTGGTCAGTACTGTGATCGGAGACCTCTGGGAACTCCATGTGCCGCAACAGGGCGGCTGTAATGTGTCAAATTATTGCTGTGTCCTTAGGCAAGACATTTCACCCACATTGTCTAGAATGAGTCTGGTGTGTGTGTGAATTGTTGGTGGTGGTCGAGGGGCCGATGGCACATACTGGTTGCCATGTTGTCAGTGTGCCCCACTGTAGCTGCGGTTACAACAGTAGTTTATCCCCACTGTGTATGGAGTGAAAGAATAACACCATGTAAAGTTTCAAAAAAGCACTGTATAAAACCGATGCATTATGATTAACACAACATCCTCTGCACACTCTTCCCAAACAGCCCCTGCTTCTGTCTCCCTATTGTCCCTCCGTCTCTCTCGCGGCTCTTCTGCCAGTGTTTATCTACATTCTATGCACGGTGAGCGCGAGGGCCCAGTCTGGAGCCAGCTGATGGGGCCCCGGGGCCGCGTGTGTGAGGTGCCAGCTGTACAGAGGCAGCAGAAGGGACCGGAGGGGGGGAGGAAGAGAGAGTACCTGAAAACATGGCCCGGGACGTTGTGAGAGGGAGCCAGGCGGCCAGTTGGCTCCCCTCAGGCACACGCGCTGTCACCGCTGCTCTTTGTGGCGCCTCACCAGTAGAATGCGCAAGTGACGTCTGCGGGCGCTTATTCTAATGGACTAAGTTTAATATTTAAGCGGATGTCTGCACAGGGGAAAATGGCGGAGTGAGACTTATTTTTGAACATAACTTTCCCCTGCTCTCTCCTGTTGCCTTATGAGTGGAATGGATTCAGAGTCAGATTTATTTGTTTGTGATTTTCAGTAAAACCATGCCGGAATACATGTACCCCAGTGAATTCATGGTCCAGACCCAAACCCACACTGCTCATACGCGGTCAGCCTGTAAGATGTAAGATGGGCAGAGTGACAAAGGAAAAGAATCAACGATGCAAGGAATACCAGACTGAAAACTTAGTAGAAGGAAGTGTTGTAATGTGTGGATCGACTAAGTTTGGAAGAGTATCTCCGTGACGTCGCTCTTTGCATCATCATTGTACAGCGTTTATATAGCATCTGATTTTGTCTCCCTGAATAGGAACCTTATTTTGATTAACCAACAGAAACTTGTCACCATAAGTAGAATTCTGTAGTTAGGCGATTCTGTCTCCAGCGGTCAGAAGGTCCAGCTCTTCTTGCATTCTTGGCCTGAGTTTGGACAAGTGTTGACAACGTATTGACCGATGCTCAAGGCGCTATGCAGTCGGTGTACACCTCGCAAATTCATTCTTTCAACCACTGTACACACACTTCCTGATAGGCAACAAAGTACTCGCGAAACCGGAGCACCCGAAGGAAACCTACGCAGGTAGAACATGCAAACTCCACTCAGAGAGACCCTGTGCCGCCCAAAAGAGTAATGACTGGGTTGTATGAGTTAGAAGGGTTGGATCTGTAGACTGTGTATACTTAAAGCTGCACTAACTGACTTTGGGATTTTGAAGCCGCGGACTCGCTGGCCTCGCTCTTTCTCCTCCCCTCCCCGCACCCAGGAAGCTATTGCCCCCACACACACCCACTGTTGGGACGAAGTAAGCGCCTCCCAATATGGATAATACATGGGTATGGATTTGCACGTGGATGGCGTGACCATAGGACAATAGAACCGGGAAGCGCGGAGGAACGAGACTTTCTTTTGGATGGCTGTCTCGCTGTGTAAGCAGTAACCGGTGACGAAGACGAGGAAGCTTCAGGTTAGCTCCTCGGCTTGTTGTGCTAACTCAGCTGTCTGTGCTAACTCAGCTGTCTATGCTAACTCAGCTGTCTATGCTAACGGACCTGTAGATTTCTCACGAAAGTGGGGGCTATTGGTCCGATGTGATTGGACATAATCTGAGACCCGAAACACATTCTCTTCCTTGTTTCATCCAGACTCGATCTAAAATATAATGTCACGCCAGAGCAAATCTGCGCTACTTTTTCTTCAAAAGGACGTATATCCCAATGCACTACATGGACATGGATAGCATTTTTGTAATGAATACAAAAATAAAGTCAGTTAGTGCAGCTTTAATGTACAATGCTAACACACTAGCTCAATGAAGCCCATCAGGGTTTTGCCCCAAAGAAGTTATGTTCCATCTCATACTTTTCACCTTACATGGAGAAATTCTTTAGCTCAGTTTGTGTCACACCAACATTTCTTAAAATACTTTTATCATACTTAAAATTAAATCCTTCACTAGGCCACACCAAATCCTGTCCTAACTTCTTGAGCTAACAGACAGACATTTCAGGGCTACAGTGTCATAGACAGAAGGAGAGAATGCGGTAATTTTTCAAAATAAAGGATTTTTTAGATTCAGAATATATATATATATATTTTTAAATTAATTATTTATTCTTTCCTTTGTGGCCCTGGCCCTGCTTGAATGTACCACGGCCCGATTCCAGTCCGCAGAAAAAGGGTTTGGGACCAGTGCACTAGAAAAAACACTATTATGCTGAAGTTAGAGATGTTAAACTTGCTCTTTATTATGCTGAAGATATTTGATTTGATTTTAGTACAGAGTTATTGTTCATTTATCTTCAGCTCCTCATTCCTACTGTTCTATAACTGGTGATGCAACACTGAAATATCCCCACTGTGGGACAAAAAAAAATCTGAATATTAATCGTTATAGCTCCATCCATGCCAATATCAGAAATTTCCAACACCCTCCTTCTGTCTGAATACTCATTTTGCAACTCGTTACCCGACGACGAAACCTCAAACTGCAACATCACGGATCGAGCCATTTCCTGCCTTTTTAAACCAAAAGTATTGCTTCCAAATTAGTTCTGTGAATCTCTCATCCATGTTCTATGTAGATCCAAGAACACAGTGTGGGGACGACAAGAGGAGACCACTGCAACACGGACAAAAGCTGAGAAAAGCCTGTCAAGAATTGTTTATAGACACATACAACCTCATTACTATTATTTAAATGAATTCTCGCTCCGTCTTTCACCAAACCCTGCAGCAGTGTTGTGGATAATCCCTTTTGTTTTAATGCCTTTTCGAGTCTGTTGAAACAAATGCAGTCTGCAGCGGAAGGTAAATAAGGAAGGTACAGTAAATAAGAAGCTGTTTGCCCGGGAATAAATGACTCCATAAATCCAGCACCCATGTAGTTTTATAATGAAAGCGACGAATGGCTCATAAAAGTTATATATTAGCAAAGCAGGGGATTTCCGCATGCTTTCGAATGAGTGCTGTATTTCACTAAAACTGGGATTTTGGTTTTAATAAAAAGTGGCTTAAGGTACTCTAGACAATCTGTGTCTGCTATTATTACTTATTCTGTTCCTCTTGTGATTTGCGATAAAGACAACTTTTGGTTATTACAGATAACATGATGATATGTTGTCTGGAAAAACGCATGGAACATTTGACAGCACTGAAATCACGCCCAAACTACACATATTGCGCAATCTTAAATAATGCATCATCAATATACAGTATAACACCTAAATCTCATACTTTGATACAAACACTCAATTGTGATCTCATGGTTTGGAAAAGAGGCAAGAATTTTAACTCACTTTTTATCACTTCAAAATCTGTTTTCACCTTTGGCTGCAAAGTGGCATTAAGTAAATCCCAAAATTGCTTGAATTAGGGAGAATTTATAATAATTTGAGTACATTTGGAAAAAACAAGATTTTCTAATGGAACATGCAAAAGTGGTTTGTTTTTAAAAAAACAAGA